AACTAGATCAAAAAACCAAATCATCCAATCAAAAAATGAGGTACAGATCTAAACAGCAAATTCTCAACAGAAGATTCTCAAATGGCTGAGAAACACTTAAGGAGATGTTCAACATCCTTAGCTATGAGGGAAATGCGAATCAAAATGAGTAAGATACAATCTTACACCTGTCAGAATGGCTAAGATCAAAAACACAAGTGACAGCTCATGCTGGAGAGGATGTGGAGCAAGGGGAACACTCCTCTATTGCTGGTGGGAGTGCAAACTTATACAGCCACTTTGGAAATCAGTATGGTGGTTTCTCCAAAAACTGGGAACCAATAAATCTACCACAAGACCCAGCTATACCACTCTTGGTCATATACCCAAAGGATGTCCAATCATACTACAAGGACACTTGCTCAACTATGTTCATAGCAGCTTTATTTGTAATAGCCAGAACCTGGAAACAACCTCGATGCCCCTCAACTGAAGAATGGATAAAGAAAATGTGGTACATTTACACAACAAGGACTAACAAGCTATTGGGGTCCAGCCCCAGATAGCCCTTTTCCAGGGTCCATGGAAGAACCTAACAACCAGTTGAGAATCTAATCTTAGGAATATTGAAAAATCTACACACACTGAGCTCTTTCAGTCCATTTACTTTATTCTTCTAAGTCAATTCTACAAGTGCCATGGGGGGGGGTACCGGTTATATACACTTACAAGCAGTAATTCTTTGGCAATGCAATGAGAGGCTTGAAGTTTTCAGGGTCATAGAGAGAGGTGATAAGATCCACACATAGAGCAGTAATTGTCAGCTTTCATTTACAACCCAAAGGGGAATGACTAATGAAAGTTCTCTGGTAGGGTCAACTAAGGGCTAAAATCAATTAGGGAATCTAAGAAGGAATTTATGTGCTCAGCCTATATTCTTAGAAGTGGTTAGGTAAAAGGTTAGGAGTCTATATGTTAGTTTAAGTCGTGAGTAAGGTAAAACTGTCTTTTCTTCCTTCAGCGCTGCTTCTGGCTCAGCTATCTCGACAGTGCCATTTTCCAGCAGGGTGGGGGAAGTGTCCTTGGTCACTAGGCAACCTTCATAACAACATGTAGTATTTGGTTCATAAAAGCACTTTTGCTCTGAGTCAGTTGCTAAAGGGAACTTTTAGATCTAAGGATAACACCTAGGCTATGGGATAAAAGAAGAGGATTTAAGCTTAATTTGTACAAGAAACAAAGCTTGGCACCTATCATCCACCTGGCCTTGGTGGCTGTCTCATTGAGTCAGTGGGAATTTTACCTTATATCAGTAACTAGCAGATGGCTGATAACCATCCCAGTAATTACAAGTGTAAATCTCTTAAATTAGGGTCTTGTGTTAATAAACCGGGGTGAAGGTAAGGAGTTAAGGATTTAAGGTTAGTGAGGTTAGCTTCTCTTGTCTGTGGGCAAGGTGAGCTCAGGGCATGCTAGTGCTCATCTATCTACAGTCTGTCCTTGAATGTCTGAGAAGTATCTCAAATGAAATAACTTTTGCCGAGAGATGGCACTGGCCAGATGTTTGCTAATGAAGATAATTACAGAGAAGCAGACTCTAAGCCTATGCTAGAATAAGAGGAACAAAGGCCTGATTGTGGGAAAAGGGTCTTTGTTTGTGTGACTGTTTTCACATATAGTCAAAGGGATGTCATCCATATGCCCCAAACTTATAAGGTAAATTGTGCCCAATAAATAATCAGTCACACTGTTAGAAGTTGTTGGGAAAAGAATCAAATGGGAAAGCTTTAACAGCACACAGGAAATTCACTGCAGGAAACAGCTAATACATTCCAAAACCTATATCACCAAGACTCCTTGAATTTTGGCTTCGCTCCACCAGAGCCCTTGGCTCTGTTAGATTTTAGCCTTGTCAGTACCAGCTGAATTCCTACTTCATATTTCTGCGCTCGCAGCAAAAGACACCAAGAAATTTGCAGGCAAATAGATGGAACTAGAAAAAAATCATCCTGAGTGAGGTAACCCAGACTGAAAAAGACAAACATGATATATACTCACTCATAAGTGGATATTAGCTCTAAACAAAGGATAACCATGCTACAATCCAGAGACCCAGAGAGATTAGGTAACAAGGATGATTCATGGGGGCATGCCCGAATCACCAGGAAGGAGAAATAGAAGAAATTTCATGAGTGGACTGAGGGCAGGTGGGGATGGGAACATGAGTGATCAGGTTGGGGGGTGTGGAAGAGGAGAGTACTGGAAGAGACTACTGGAAAGAAGGGCATTTCACAATCAGGTAAAAACCTGGTGCAATGGAATCTTCCAGGAATCTACAAGAATGACCCCAGCTTAGACCCTAGTAATGGCAGATATGTAGCCTAAACTGGCCATCTCCTGTGACCAGATTGGTGCCTAGCCCAATTGTCATCAGGGAGACTTCATCCAGTAACTGATGGAAACAGATGCAGACCCACAGCCAAACATTAGGCAGAGTTTGGGGAATCCAACAGAAGAGGGGGAAAAAGGATTGTAGGAGCCAGAGGGGTCAAGGACACCACTAGAAAACCACAGAATCAACTAACCTGGACTCATAGGGGCTCACAGAGATGGAACCAACAACCAGGGAGCCTGTATGAGACTGACCTAGGCCCTCTGCATATATGTATGTGACAATTGTGTAGCTTGGTCCTCTTGTAGGACTCTTAACAGTGGGAACAGGGGCTCTCTCCCCTGACTCATTTACTGGCTTTTGGTTTTGGGACCCTACTGGGTCACCTTGCTCAGCCTTAATACATGGGAAGGTGCTTAGTCTTACTGCAACTTGATATGCCATGTTTTGTTGATATCCATGGAAGGCCTGTCCTTTTCTGAATAGACATGGAGGAGGAGAGGATTGAGGGTAGGGTGGGAACAGAGTGGATGGGTAGGGAGGAGGAACTGGGAGGAGAGGAGGGAGGGGAAACTGCAGCCAGAATGTAAAATAAACAAATTTATTAAGAGAGAAAGAGAGAGAGAGAGAGAGAGAGAGAGAGAGAGAGAGAGAGAGAGAGAGAGAGAGAGAGAGAGGAGAGTAAAAAGTGTGTTTAGTTCAGGGAAAGTCACACAGCCTCCATCCTGTGTGTTTGCCAGCCGGCTTCCCCTCCACTGTCCCCGGGGCAAATGCAAGGGAAGCTATGAAATGCAGTCTTCCTGTGCATTCAGGACGGGGGAGGGACACAACAGACTCAGATGTGTTTGTCACAGAGGCTGAAGGCAGATGCTGAGCTTGGCTGAATGACCATGAACTATGACTGTGAAATAGCAATGTAGACAAGCATGCCCACTGTTCTCATAATTTCGTATACCATTTTCAATAATTTGGAGAAGAAACAATATTGGAAAGAATTATTCTCAAATACCCCCAGATAACATTTCTTCAAACTTGGTTCCTGGTCTAAACTTGTCTTTCACCTGAGACACTCCCTTCCTTGCGTGAGTGTCCATGTTCCAAGAATCTCTGTTGTCCTCTTTTTTTTTTTTTTTTTTTTTTTTTAGCCACAGATGTCTGAATCAGCAATTGCAACTCTGCCACTACCAACAACAGTTAGGCCGAAAGGGCTGTAACCAGAGGGAATTCTGGTCCTTCAGGCACCAACTCTTGCAAAGCTTAGAAGGGAATTTAACTAAACCTCTGTTCCTCTAAAGAACTCAGATTCAAAGGTTAAAGTGGAATTCTGCTCTTCAGAGGCTGAATAGCAAATAGCTCACCTCCTCTCCTTACTCATGACCTCCAAAAAGCCCTCATGCTTCTCCTCGCCCCTCCTTATAAACCCTTCTCCACCTGGCTCCTCCCTACCACTTCCTGTCAGCTAGTTGCTGACTCAGCCTCCTGACTGCAGGTGAATTTTATTTAATCAAACACATCTTTCCATCAGTAAACAAATGTTCCAGAGCATAAACAAAAGTAACACACCTTAAAATAATATTCTACAACTAATCTCTGCTAAGTTTCTTCTGCTCCAGGGTTCTATGACTCTTTCTGTGGTGCTCTGAGGAATGCAAATGTCATGTAAAATTTGGGAGCTATTGGAAGGACCCTTCTTACCTGTGAACATCTGCAGACTCTTCCCTTCATGATTTCCATGGAAAGTTTCCAATTCAGGTGTAAATAAAGTGAAGCAATGGGTCGTTCTAAGGGCAACTGTATTTCTTTATGTATCTCTTTGTCCTCATTTAGTATATAAATTACATATTTCAAATCATGAAAATAGGAATTAAACCAACTTCAGTCATCCAGTGTGTTCCTGTTACTAAATGTTGTGTGCCAACTCTCTGCCAGCAGTGGCAGTGCCACATAGACACAGCAGTCTCTGTCCTTGTGGAGCTAATGCACAACAGAACACCAGGCAGCAAGCAACGCGCTACAGAAAAGTAAAACAAGACTGGTGGGAAATGTTGGCACTGTTTTAGGAGGATGACCCAGAGTCCCTGGGGCTGGAACAGGTTTAGCAAGAAGGCCAAACTGGCCAGGGCCAAGAGTGGCAAGCAGTGAGACTGGAGAGGCTGATGACATAGAGTTTCAGGTTGGTCCAGGTTTGATGGGATCTTATTGAGCAGAAAAGTGATAGTATCTCCTATATGCTGCTAAAAATCACTGCACTGAAAGTAGAGGGTTGACTATCAGAGGCAAAGATGGAAGCAGGCAAGGCAGATCCTTTGGGAAGACCCAGTAGTAATTTAGGGAGGTAACATAGAGAGGAAAAGGCTCTGAGCTTGCTGGCCTGGAAGGAGTCTCAGTCCTCAGGGAAGTCTGTGCCCTAGTACAGTTACAATTAACATGCCCAGAGAGCTGCTGTATTAGGTGTGTGCACATGATGTTGCTGGAGTGCTGGACAGGAGGACGTACTGGAGTAGTGGAAGTCAGAGCCAACGTCCAGAGAGCCTGGGAACGCAGCTGAAAGAGAAAATAGGAAGGCCCTGGTGCAGAAGGTGCTTGCTCTTTTGTGCTTTTTGTCAAACATGATATTTTCTTTTGGCAGCTTAACGGAAGAAAAGATTCTCATACTAAAGGAATTTGAAAAGATACCTAAGCCAGGGGTAAGTATTAGAGTTTATTAAATGCAGCTGAATTCAGACGTCCCTTTAAAAATAACACCACACCCTGAAACATTTGAAACACCAAAACTCCACACTCACTGCAGATGCGGAGAGGAAGATCTGCATCCTCGTGAGTGATTACGAGTGAGGCAGGTGACAAGCTTTCTACTTCGTTTATAGAAGAAAATAGGTTACATCTCCTCTGTAGTTACTACACCAAGCTTTCTGAGCATCTCAGAGTTTGGTCATATGATGTCATACCATGATCAAGCAACGTATACAAGAAAGCATTTAATTCAGAGCTCACAGTTACACAGGGTAGTACAGTCTCTGCCCATCATGAGGGGGGAACAGGGTGGCAGGCAGGCAGGTGTGGTGCCGGAGCAGTAACTGGGAACTTACATGGATCCAGAAAGGCAGAATGTGTGTGTGTGTGTGTGTGTGTGTGTGAGAGAGAGAGAGAGAGAGAGAGAGAGAGAGAGAGAGAGAGAGAGAGAGAGAGAGAGAGAGAGTTAGCAGGTAAGCAGAATGGTGTGAGCTTTTTTTTTTTTTTTTTTTTTTTGGTTTTTCGAGACAAGGTTTCTCTGTGTAGCTTTGCACCTTTCCTGGATCTCGCTCTGTAGACCAGGCTGGCCTCGAACTCACAGAGATCCGCCTGCCTCTGCCTCCCGAGTGCTGGGATTAAAGGCGTGCGCCACCACCGCCCAGCAGTGTGAGCTTTTGAAACCTCAAAACCCACACCAGTGACACACCTCCTCCAACAGGTTTCCTAATCCTTCTCAAACAATTTCACCAACTAGGCATCCAGCATTCAAATATATGAGCCTATGGGGCCATTCTCATTTAAACTCCACAATTACTTACCTATTCCTGCATAACAAGCCATCTCAAAAGCTGGTGGCTTAAAACAATAAACATTTCTACTATAGTTCTGTGTTCTTTTGGTCTGAGCTGGCTTAGTTGGGGCAGGGTCAGCTACAGTGGCAGGTTAGTTATCTAAGGTCCCACATCACTTGTTGATCACATGATAGTGGAAGGGTTTCCAGCCTGAAGACATGCAAATCACAATATGCAAGAACTTTTGAAGTTTCTATTTGAGTAATTTCTGGTCATGTTCTGTTAGTCAAAACAGTGGCTAGGGTCATGTTCACAGAAGAAGGCCTTGCCCTCTCCATGGAAAGAATAACAAAGACACATTTGGGGGCCAGGAATACCCTGGGGAGTAGGAGGAAATTATGGCCAAGTTTTGAGACCTACAACAGAAAACATTGTTTCTACTTTCCGGACGTTGCTTTTAAAATGTGTTGTCAATGGTTCACTTCCATGGCCAGCTCACAAATCTGCTGAACTTTTAGTAAGATATTGTTAATTCTATATAAGTACATCTGTGATGGTTAATATTGATTGTAAACTTAGCAAGACGTAGACTCTCCCAGCAGACAAGTCTCAGCATTCTTTTGGGGGATCATCTAGATTAGGTTAGTCTCTGGGCATGACTGTGAGGAATATTGGCTAATGGAGATGGGAAGAACCACCTTAACTGGGGTGTCTTCGTTGCATGGACTGGGGTCCTGCACCAAATAAAAAGGAGAATGCCAGCTGAGCACTAGCATTCATTGTTATGTACTTCTTGACTGGGATGAGCGTTCAAGTTCATGCTGCCAGGACTTCCCTACTACACCTTCACCAAAGCAAAGCCTCCCTTCCCTGCATCGTTCTTGTTGGGGTATTTAATTATCGCAACAAGATAACATCTAACCACCATTTACAACACACCACACACAAGCCACAGACACTCACACACACACACACACTCACACACACCACAGACTTTCTCACACACAGTCACACACACACACACACACACACACACACACACACACACACACACACACACACTCACATATAGTCACACCACACACACAAGAGAGAAAGAGAGGGGGTGGTTTAGGTGACTTATTTTACTTTCTTTTGGCAGTAGAAGGGAACAAGAAAGCTCAGCACAGGCTAATAAAACTATCTACGTGGCCATTCTTAGCAGATAGCCTTTCTGAGTACAGTAGTAAGGATAGGAGCACAACCTCCTCTGACCCTGATGGAGGACACTGAGGAAGAGACTATACAGAGATAATATTAATAAATGTGGGTGCTACTGTGTGGAAATGTGAGCCTCCTCATGGCCAGTTGCCATGTATGACTCAGGTTAACCACAGACAGGCATTCAAAGATGGTTTGCATCTGATTTTGTCAAATCCCAGTACTACAAAAAAACAGAATGTACATTTTCACAGTGCTTTTTAGTATGAAATATAAATTAACATAGAAAACATTTAAAACATGAACTGCTCAGCTAAAAAGTACTTCAAAACTGTCACATCCTTAGTTGATGTGGTATAATTGGCATTCTGTGACCGAAGGTGCCAGGCATAAGTTACCCCCTTCCTGGGAATCACTTATGAGTCTTCAAACATGTACAAGCAATATGGTAAGTGGACTTACTTTCAGTTTAGCTTTAAGTAGAGAAGCACTCACCTGGACTTTCTAACTGGCCATTTCCATGACTTTTACAGGAAATGGAGAAGAAGATGAAAATCCTGAGAGAAAGCACCGAAGAGCTGCGCAAGGAAGTGATACAGAAGAGACTGGAAATCAAAATCCTGCGGGAAGACGTGATATCCAAGCAGAAGCAGCTTCTAAAGGAGCAGAAGGAGCTGGATGAGCTGAACGAATGCCAGGTTGGGCTGAAGGTATGCTATGGACAATCCGTGACTGTTTAAACATGTGCCTGTGTGGGCGTTGAAGCACACGGGATGAGGTTAGCTACTTGCTTGTGACCAAAAGAGCTAGCTGAACAGTTGTGCATCATGAAGGACCCTGCCAAAGACAACCTAAATTCTAGGAATTTACAAATGGCTTGAGGGGGTTTGATAGGAAAAGACGTGAGAAATCCTGATGACACTGTCATAATGTGAAGACCTGCCCCTGGATAGCTGGCCGCCAGGAGAGCTGGCCGCCAGCATCTGAAGTGAGCATCACAGACACACGGGATTCCTTGCGAGAAGCCGAATGTTCAGTCCTCCTGTGTCTGTCTGTGCTGTCTTATCCCTGTATGCTCGATTCCACTCTTCCTTTTACTGGAAAAGTGACAAGAAGCCTATATTAATGTCTTAGGAAATAATGAATCGAAATGAATTTCATTTTGAAAAATATACAATAATTCTCAAGACAAGTTAAAGAACCTTGAGTTACTTAAGGGACAGCTCCCAAAATTCATTGGCTTAGAAAACTCTTGAGATTTACTCTGGCCATTTCCCTAAGCTCTCAGAGCATGCCCATCTTCTCTGGGAAGCAGGCTCTAAGAAGAGATTCCTTTGACATCAAGAATGCTGTGCAGCTTCAGGCCCATCGTCTGCATGAACCTCTCAAGGATTTGGACCTAAGTTGGCAACTGTAACTTTTTTGCTTGAAGAGGGACTTCCAGATTGCTAAGCTTCAGCCCTATAAACCTGGGTCTGCTCCAGGACTGAGCAAGACCCTGAAGAGAAGCACTCCACCCTGTCAGTGCAGTGGTGGGTTTAACTTTGTGCTCACATGTGGTTCCAGCCCCCAAAATCTGGTGAACACCCTGGATGCAAAGGGTCCCTTTCATCACCGCTGACGCAATGCCTGAACTGAACGATCCGTGAATTCACACAGCTGGCAGAATCTAAGTGTCCACAAGTTTAGCTTCTGACCTTGGCCCTGCATATATGTTCATATATGTGCTCACGTGTGTGACTACAGGCAGTGTTTTTCGTGTCTCCTGTCGATCTTAGGCAGGGCTCCCCAGAGGCAGCGTCTAAGGCAGTTAATGCAGGAGAAGCCTATATGGCTCAGAGGGAAGCAGGAGAGAGCTAGGGGACAAGACAGGCTGGACACAGGTTTTGCTGTAGAACTCTAGTCTCAGCCTGGCCTCAGAGAGAACCCTGGATCTTGAGTTGAATCACAGACTGTTCTACTGAGCCAAGGAGCATGGGGTATTATCTCATTGCATGAGCTAGCCCTGGCTACAGCCTCTTCCATACTTCTCCCACCTCTCCCACCCCAGGGGAAAGGGGACTCTTAGCAGGGCACCAACAGCAGTTGTCTCACTCTGTCTTCTTTTTGAGACAGTAACAAGTATAATGACCTTATAAAGCCAGTGTGAATATTGGGGGAAATAAAGTATACAGGGTAGATGGTAAGAATTCTACAAAATTTAATTTTCCTCTCATTTAATTTGCTTGCTTAATTGACTACATAACGTGATTGTATTTCTTTACTAGGATGACGTGGTCCACCATCAAAGTATTCCCGTACAAATTACAAAGGAGATAGAAAAAATGACACGCAAAAAAATGTATGATTTAATACTTTTATTCTGAATCCCTCCTAGGCCACCCTCTCCCAAATAATGTGTGTGCATGTTATAAGTTTTGGAAATTATAATCTTGGAACTATCTGACTCTGGTGCCACCTGGGCTTTGTGTATTTGGAGTTTAAAAGGAAATAATACAGCAAATGATAATAATTGGTTCTGCTCCAAATTGTAAATCATATTTCTATGGAGACCTTCAGCAACTTCTTCAGGGCTGGAGATTAACCATTTTAACTTAGAATGTCGTAGCCCTGAAGGATGCTCAGGCAGCCAGCAGCCCAAAAGATAGCAACTTCTCACTGTGCACCTGTTCACCCTCAGACATTCGGAGTAGATTTGGATGTGAAGATCATTGGGAAATTCTCAATATTTCAGTGATCAAAAATAAAATAAAAGGTTAGTGTAGCAAGCTTTGTTGTCAGCCACCTGCTCACAAATAATGGCACAGAGACTTCTTATTAATTATGAAAGCTCGGCCTTTGCTTAGGCTTGTCCCACTAGCTCTTATAATTTAAATTAACCCATTCATATTAATCTATGTTCTGCCTTGTGGCTTTTTACCTTTTTTTCATTCTGTATGTCTGACTTCCTTCATGTCACATCGGCATCTGACATGTTCCTGGATTCATCTCCTACTTCCTTTCTCTCTTCCTGGAAGTCCCGCCTATACCTCCTGCATAGCTATTGGCCATTCAGCTCTTTATTAAACCAATCACAGCGACACATCTTCACACAGTGTACAAACATGCCACAACATTTAACATAGATTAATACAAAAAGGTTAATTTAAGTTATAAGAGCTAGTTGAGACAAGCCTAAAGTAAAGGTCGAGTTTCACAATTAATATAAATCTCTGCATTATTATTTGGGAGCTGACAAGTGGGACAGAGAAGTACTTATTGCAGGTTAGTGCATATAAAAATGTTCTAGAGAAAAAATATGATTACTCTAGTAACCAGTCTTAAAAGAATACCAGAAAATGGAGCAGTATGATTCTAAAATCCAAGATCACCAGAAGTAAAGTTAAGAAAGTCAGGACTGGTCCCGGAAGCTAGTCAGGATGAGGGTAGAAAGGACAGGAGACAGAGGCTGGGATGAGGAGAAAAGAGAACGGGGACATGCCTGTCCTCGGGGCATTCTGGGAAGTCATCCCCCGTCCTGCTTCCATTTTTTTATGTGACAGACAACAACAAAGGGAAGAAAGCAGTTTATTTCAGCTGACAATTCCAGGCTACAGTCTCTCATCGTGTGGAAGTCAAGACAGGAATTCCCGGCAGCTAACCACAACACATCCAGAGTCAAGAGCAGAGAAAAATGCATGCTCACTAGCTTACTTGTACTCAGCTCCATTTCTCCCCCTTATACAGTTTGGGACCTCCCTGCCTAAGGAATGGTGCCACTCACAAAGGACTGTGTCTTCCCACATCCATTTACTTAATTAAGACAATCTCCCACAGACATACCTGTGGGTTATGACCTGCTTGGGGGTCACATATCAGGTATTTACATTATGATTCACAACAGCAAAGTTACAGTTATGAAGTATTAATGAAATAATTTTATGGTTGGGGGTCACCACAACATGAGGAACTGTAGTAAAGGGTCACAGCATTAGGAAGGTTGAGAACCACTGCCATAGACCAGTCCAATATAGACAGTTCCCCATTGAGACTCTCTTCCCAAGTGATTCAAGTTGATGATGAAAGCTAACATCACACCTCCCAAGTCCCTCTCACCTTTAACCTTTACAAACTTCTAAGCTCAATGAACTTATGATAAGTGTATTTTTGCCTGATAATAGGTAGAGACAGCATGAACTCAAAATAAGCCCTCATACTTCTGTCTGTGTTCCTACAGAGAAATGGAAAAGAAAAATATCATCTTGGAACAAGAAGTCAAAGAGCTGAATGAGTCTTTAAAGAAGCTTGAAAACAAAGTCAATGCTCTCGTGGAAGAGAAGGATGACGTCATGAAGGAAGTAGAGGGCAAGCGAGCCTTACTGGAAGTCAAAGAACGAGAATATAACCAACTACTTAAGCTGCTGGAGCTAACCAAAGAGAACGAAGCTTCCTCACTAGCAGAAAGGTCACTTCTATTTCTGTCATCTTCATTTTAATCAGTGCAGTCTCGAAGCTTCAAAACATTATCAATTGATTATATGTGATTCAATAGCAAGTTGTAGAATTTTAAACCAATTTTTACCATTAATCAAATGTACCATCAAAACATTTTGAAGCATGTTTTTCTATTCTTCAATCACAATTTTCCTCAATTCTATGGTTCCAAATTTAAGAATAAAATCCATTGTTTGCTTTAAGTTTGTGGGGATTGTGTCACTCAAATGTGCTATGGAGTCCAGAAATTTGCCGACCAATGAGTGGTATTTCTGACTTAATCCCAACCTTTTCTGGATGAGGGAGATGTCATGGTGTGATCCCACACTGGAGTATTTTACTTCTGAGTTTGTGTACGTGTGGAGGTGGGGTGTGCACACACAATGTTTTCACTAGAGTGTAGGGATCAGAGGTCACGGCCTCTGTTGTCTACCTTGTCTTTTGAGACAGTCTCTCACTGGGACCTTGGACTGCCTGACTAGGCTACACTAGCTGGATAGTGAGCTCCAGGGAACTGGCTCTCTTCACCTCCCCACACTGGGATTACAAGTGCGTTCTACCACTCACAGCTACTTAGTTACATGGATACGGGGGCCTCAATCCCTATGTGTGTGAGGCAAGCCCTTTACCAACGGCAGAATCTCCCGAGCCCCTGACTTTGCTTAAGGCCAGAGTTTTAACCCAGGGCTTCACTCCTGATGTGCAAGTGCTCCACCACTGAACTTTACTCTCAGCCCTACTTCTTACATTTCAGTAAAAATTCAAGGAAACTTGAGACCTGTGTCTCCCTGGCCTATCATTACATTTGGGGAGTTTATAGGATTATATTTCAAAATGATAGCAACACACAAAACTGGCTGGCTTGGGCATTGTTCATGATTTATGATTGTAACGTAAGGAAAGTTGTGTGTATATCCTTGAGAGTGCTGTCTTTGATAAGCTTAGAAAACTGTGAAAGACAGTGGGTGACATCACTTTCATCTTCGCCCTTGACCCGGACAGAGGGATCTTGGATCTCAACCTACGAAACTGCCTCATTGACAAGCAGAACTACCATGATGAACTTTCTCGTAAGCAAAGGGAAAAAGAACGAGATTTTCGGAACCTGAAGAAGACAGAGCTGCTCCTGAAGGTGTCCTTGGATGCGCTCACTCAGACACAAGCCCTGAATCAAAGACTTCTACTTGAGGTGGGTATGAAAAACATCATCTAGGCTTTTAAGCTTAGGGCTCTCTTTCAAACGGCATTAGGATTTTGCTATCAATAGTAAAAGAAGGAAAGGTGACAGTGGGATAGCAATTCGAGGATGCAGCATCCTGTTAGACTCCCGGTGTAATATTTTCCACCTCTTTTTCTAGCCCAAGACTAGCAGAATGTCTTGCTTTAATTGGGCAGGGAAGTAATTGATCAGCCAGTTTGGGAAGGGCCTAAACTCTAGGCCTTTCAGTATATGGTATACAGCACAAAGGTAACCCAGAACACAAGGCCCACTACTAGCCAAAGATAACCCAGAACCCAAGGTTGGGCTGCTAGCCAAAGATAACCCAGAACCCAAGGTTGGGCTGCTAGCCAAAGATAACCCAGAACCCAAGGTTGGGCTGCTAGCCAAAGGTAGCCCAGTACCCAAGGTTGGGCTGCTAGCCAAAGGTAGCCCAGTACCCAAGGTTGGGCTGCTAGTCAAAGGTAGCCCAGTACTCAAGGTTGGGCTGCCTGGACAGTTTTGTGCATTATGAGAAGTGGTCTCTAGTCAGAGGATGCTTGAAATAACAGGGTATTATCTGACTGTCTCTCCTCTGAGGACTGAGGGGTTTAGTCCTGCTACCCCAGAGTCTCATGGAAAAGCAGAGGGTCCTTGAGAGACAGCCTTCTTATGCTGAAGACTGTATTGGTGCATTCTTTGGTGAGAATGGGATCAGGTCTCTGAGGTGAGACAGGAGATTTTCACAGAACCCATTCTGTACTGGCTACTCTTCAGAGGTCCTGAGTTCAATTCCCAGAAACCACATGGTGGCTCACAACCATGTATAATGTGATCTGGTGCCCTCTTCTGGAATGCAAGCATATATTCAGACAGAGCACTGTATACATAATAAATAAATAAATCTTTTTTTAAAAAAATCACATAACTAGTTCAGGTTAGTGGATTGTGGGGAAAAGTGACATGCCATTTTTAACTTAGGGCATTTCATTGCCAGTATGAGATCTTCTGGCTCTTTATTTCTCTCCTGTGGTAACTATGGGAGGATGTTACAGAATGGAGGTGCTGTAAGGTAGGAGCAACCAGAAATACTGAGCCATAGAAGTCTCATCTTTGGGCTCCAGTAATGATGATTCAGTGATGATGGGTTAAGAGCAATGACTGCTCTTCTAGAGGACAAGGGGACAAGGGATTGATTCTCAGTACCTACATGATGCTTTATAGCCGTCCATAGCTCCAGGTCTGGGAGTCCAGTTTCTTTCAATCTCTCTGTGTCCTTATTTATGTGTGTCTCATACACAGCACACACCTTTAAACTCTTGCCAGAGAAGATAAAATCTTTGCACTTTCGTGTTTAGCTCAAATATTAATATTTAATGTAATTGTGGGTAGACTTGGACAATGGCCATACAGTAACTGTTTCTTTATCCCATTTGCCTATGTTCTATCTTCTCTCCTTTATTTTTTTCTTTTAGATTCACCAGTGTTCACGGTTCTGGTTTTCACATTTTGGATACTCACTAGTTGGGTTTGCACTGTCCTTGCCCTTTCAATGCTTACCATATTGAGTAAATAGTCATCCTGGCCTTAGTGGGGCCCAGTGTGGATGAATACTTTTACCATTCCCAGATGGTGCTAGAACTCTTGAAGACCTTCACTCTGTTTGCCTTTGTAAGTCTAATTCCTCCAAACACACTTTTAATGTCACTTTGCAAGTTATTCTTATTAAAGGTTGACTAATTACAAGCTACTCCTTAGCCTCGGCACAGCCCACCAGAATGTGAAGTTGGATCTCTGTACACACAGACTCAGAAAGAAAGAAGCCCCTGTCCCCAATCACATCCTCCTCTTAATCCAATGCCATTGCTTCAGCTGAATCTTTTGAAATCTCTTCATATACTATGCGACATTCTTACAGTCCAACTGCCTGTTTGAGGGACGAAGCACCTGTTAGTAGGTCCCTGAGAAACGAGACTGGAAAATAACTTGTGTGTCAGAAAATATTTTCTCCTCATGAAAAGCACAGATAAATAATGTTTAATTAGATGTAGAATCAATTTTGACAACTGATCTTGTAATTTTTGCTGTAAAGGTAAGGATTTGGCTCTCTTTTAGATCCCTGTCCACACCACACAATTGTTTGCTCCTCCACACACTAAATATTCTCTTGTAATTTTAGATACCTCGGAATTTGGTAGTTACACTGCTATGAACAGGTTAGGTCCCCACGTACCTGAATCAGACAGTAAATGCATAGGTGGCTGTTCTACAAATGGTATGTTTCTGGGACCTTATAACTGTCTTAGTTAGGGTTTCTATTGCTGCAACCAAACACCATAACCAAAGAGCAAGTTGGGGAGGAAAGGGTTTATTAGGCTTACACTTCAGCATTTTTGTGCATCACTGAAGTTAAGACAGGAACTCAAAATAGGACAGGATTCCGGAGGCAGGATTCCTTGCTTTCCCCCTGGCTTGCTCAGCCCACCTTCTTATAGAACCCAGGACCAGTAGACCAGGGATGGCACCACTCACTGTAGGCTGGGCCATCCCCCATCTATCACTAAATGAGAAAATGTCTTATAGCTGATCTCAAGGAGGCATTTCCTCAACTGAGGCTCCTTCCTCTGATGACTCTAGCTTGTGTCATCAAGTTGACACACAAAACCACCCAGTACAATGAACATCCTGATTCTCATTTTCATGTTTTATATGTGTTCACTAATTTAACTCCAAGCTCTCCTCCAACTGCACATATTTCCTCAGTTATTAAAGCACATTTGAAAATCTATTCATTTAATGTTCTTGAAGAAAAGAACCAAAGGAGCACACCAGCAGTTGAATAGGTTGAGTTTCTTTCACATTTCAACAAAGGAGAATGGACTATGAAAGTCTCAGTAGAGAGCATTGGAAAGGACTTAGAGCATTTGGGCTTATTGTATATGTTGGGGAGGCAGTTTATGGAAAGGGGACTCTGTCATGAGTTTGCATGTTGCCAGGAAATGAGAGTAATTCTGATTGATTGACTGTATTAAATCATAGTAATCAAAGGAGGAAAGATGAGATGGAGGAAAGCTGTAATTGGTAGAGAATACTTAAATGGAGAATGTATAGCATTTTTGTGGATTGGACAATGTTCATATTTTTGTTTGTATTCAAACAATTATGGGTGGTCTTGCTTTCATCTGGTTCCATCAAAATCACAGAGTGGCTTTCTCTGGCACTGATGTTCTGTGAAATTGTTCATGTTAAACAGAACACCAAGAACTAGTTGTGAGTGGCAGGCCAGCTATGGTGTACCAGATGGCTGCCTCTGTGTCGCGGCCTCTGGCCTGTCATGGACTGGTCTCCTGTCTTTAAGTACTTCCTACCCCACTCTTAGCCCTTACTGTCCCATCTCCCCCCGTGATGCTCTTCTCTTCTCCTCTCTTGGATCTCTTATTCCATGCATTTTCTCTGTTGGATTACTTCCTACCTGTGGGGAAAGCGTGTTTCCTAGTAGCTTCCTGGGAGAAGGAGGGTGGAAAATAATGGAGGGTGGAAAATAACTTTGTGTGTTAGAAAATGCATAATAGAAAATATTTTCCCTTCACTAGCAGCATACATAATTAATATTTAACTGGATGTGGAATCTTAGATGAGAAATAATTGCCTTCAGACCAAGGGATTGATCAGTTGTTTTCTAGGCTTGTTGAGTCACTATTAAAGAGAATTCAATGTCATTATGATTCTTGGTCCTTTGTTTTAAAACTTTTATGTAGCAGGCTTTCTTTTGGACAACCAGTCAGCTCCCAAATCCTGACACAAAGACTTAATGTTAGCTATATATGCTCGCCCTCATCTTATGCTTGTCCCACTAGCTCTTATAACTTAATCTAACCTCTTTCTCTTCATCTACGTTTTGCCTTGGGACTTTTTACCTTTCTCTCATTCTATGTGTCCTACTTTCACTGCTTCCTCCATGTCTGTCTGGCTGGTGGCTGTCTGGCTGGATGGCCCCGGGCATCTCCCTCTCTTTCTCCCTCCTCTCTCTTCCTCCTCCTCCTCCTCCTCCTCCTTCTCCTCCTCTTCCTCAATCTCTTTGCCTGGTAGCCCCACCTATCCCTCTACTGCCTAGCTGTGGGTGGTTCAGCTTTTTATTAGACCAATCAGGTACCTTAGGCAGGCAAGGCAAAACAGCAACACATCTTTACATAATTAAACAAATGCAGCACAAATAAATGTAACACATCTTTATATCATTAAACAAATACAGCAGAAACAAATGTAACATACCTTTACATAGTTAAAGTAATATTTCACAACATAAGCAAATGTTTATGTAGTTACAGTAATATTCTGCAACACCTTTCTTTCCCAACACCTTTCTTTCCCGTGCTGGAATTTTATAGTCTCTTTTCCTTACCTACAGAATTTTTAAATTTTGCAATGGTATTTTCACAAGTAGATCTTTTATCTTTACTCAAATCGAGGACTCAGTAGATTCTAATGTCATTCAGTTCTTTGATTGTGTGCACTCCATTTTCTCTGTTCTGTCATTCCTGGGGCCCTATTATGTAAATGGTGGGGCTTTTGAAAGAGTTCTCTAATTCCCTTCTATTTCTTCTGCATTCATTTTTTGTCATTTTGATTTGCTGCACTGTCAGTTGCCTCAACTTTCCTTTCTGGCTCTTGTCTTTCATCCTGATCCTGCCATCATAGCAAATCTTCCCATGACCTCTGTCCTCTGGTAGACTCTTCGTGGTTGCTGTTGTTTTCAGTACCTGGGGTTGAACTTAGGGCTCACACATGCTAGACAATATGTTTTGCTTGGCAAACTGTAGCTGCAGCTCTGAAGGTTTCTTTCCCACAGTATTTTTTTGAGACAGAGGTTCACTATGTAGTCAGACCTGGCCTAAACTAGTGATCTTCCTGCAGCAGCCTTCAGAGTGCTGGGATTACAGGCAAGAGCCACCTGCTCCAGCTCTTTTTCTGTAGTGTTACTATGTGCATCT